TCCACATAGCAGCCCAAAACTGGTTGTAATTCTAGCTCCAAGAATCAGACACCCACTTCTAACCTCTGGGTCACCAGGCATACATGCAGTGCACATATATACATGCAGGCAAAATACCCAAACACATACAATATTAAAATGAAAAAAATGTTTCCATGGATGTGATATAAACAAACATTTCTCCAGAGAAGATATATAACTGCCAATGGGCAAAAGAGGCCATTCTCAAAATGACTAATCATTAGGAACATGCAAATCCAAAAACCAAAGAAGGGTCAATTCACACCTACTAGAAGGAAGGTTACCTAAGACTTGTTGGGGAGCTGACTAGAGAAAGCAGAACCCTTCATGGTGCCACGCCACCATGAGAAGGAAAACAGATTAGGTTCCTCAGCTGGTTCCATACAATCCAGCAGGGCCCCTCTTCCCTACATTAACCAAAAGGAATGGAAACTGGGCCCCCACACAAAATTGTATGTGAGCTTCTATAGCAGCATCCTTCTAAGAGCCAAGCACAAACAACCCAAAGTCCACCCCCTGGTGAGAAGATAGCAGATGAGCCATGCCCACACAACAGAGCATCACTTGGTCACACCCCCTGGTGAGTGGATAGCAGGTGAGCCATGCCCACACAACAGAGCATCACTTGGTCACACCCCCTGGTGAGTGGATAGCAGGTGAGCCATGCCCACACAACAGAGCATCACTTGGTCACACCCCCTGGTGAGTGGATAGCAGGTGAGCCATGCCCACACAACAGAGCATCACTTGGTCACACCCCCTGGTGAGTGGATAGCAGGTGAGTCATGCCGAAAGAGCATTGCTTGGCCACAAGTAGGACTAAACTACAGATTAGGCTGCTCCATGGCTGGACCATGAAGAACATTATACTTAGTAAACAAAAATAAAAGTTCTGTGGTCTCATTTATATGAAATGCAAACAGTGGGAAATCCAGAGTGCCAGATGTATACCCCATACTTGGGAAGTAGAGGCAAGGGGGACCAGAGGTTAAAGGCAATCCTGGGCTACATAGTAAGTTCAACACCTAACTGAACTATACAAGACACTATCTCAAAAGAATAAGAAAAAAATTTAGAGACAGAAAATAGATTAACTGTCTGAAACTGGGGGAGGGAGAAGAAAAGTGGGCCCAGACTTTCTTTCTGGGGAATGAAAATTTTCTAATATCGATCACAGTAGAGTTTGTACTCTGTCACAGAACTAAAATAAGCATTTAAAATCGTTTTTGTACAAAGCAGGCAGTGGCTGTGGTGCACACCTTTAATCCCAGCACTTGGGAGGCAGAGGCAGGTGGATCTCTGAGTTCAAGGACAGCCTGGTCTACAGAGTAAGTTCAAGGACAGCCAGGGCCACACAGAGAAACACCGTCTCGAGGAACAGCAACAAAAAAACTTAAAATCTCTTTCAAAGAGACCTAAATTATTTAAAAGACAAACCACCCTTAGATCTGAGTTTAAAATTATACCATAAAACAAAATTATAAGGCAAAAGCTTAAATTTGAACATTAAAAATCTGGTGCTATTGAGATAGGATCACAAAATGAATTCCTTTTTAAATGTGATATGAGAATACCTATAAAGGTATATGCAGATGAAATAGCATGGCACTTGGGAGAGGTGTGGAAGTAGGGAGGATACAGATAAACTAGCCACCAACTGCAGCCCTCAAAGCAGTATGACAACAGAATTCATTATGCAATTCCACATTTGCAATGTTTTTATCTTAATATTCTCTTTCTTTCTTTCTTTCTTTCTTTCTTCCACCATGTATCACAGGCTGACCTACAACCTGGCTAGTCTCTAACTAGCAAGTCTCCTGCCTCTACCATGAGCCACTACCACACACCTGACATGAAAATCCTACCTGAGAAAAGAAGGAAATTTCTCCTGCACTTAAAAGTTCATCATGCATCAATCCATGGCAGAGGGATGGAGTCACTTTCAACCATAGTTTCCAAGAAATAATTATAAATACCCTGAGTTTGGACTCAGTATGAAGCACATATTTAGCAGACGACCTGGGTTTTAATCCCCAGACTCTCCTCTCCAGCCTCAGCTGATCACTTCTGAATCAATGGCAACATTTCCAAAAGAAATAAACTCCAAATCCAGGCTATGGCATGACTTTGGAACATTGACATTGCACTTAATTACAAACAACCAAAACAAAGGACCTATGGGAAACACACAGTAGGACAACCCGGATATAGTGTGCATCCAGCCTGGTTTCCTTTTGTATGTGATTTATTTTTTAAACTGATATTTTTTAAACTTCCTGAAACTTTTCTTGAATCTTTATTACATTTTTATTTATTTATTTATTTATTTATTTTGTGTTTAAGCAAGCATGCCACAGTGGTTCTGTGGAGGTCAGAGGGCAACCTGCAGAGGTCAGTTCTCTCCTTCCACCACCTGTGGCCCAGGGCCACATTCTGGTCATCAGTTGGCTGCAAATGCTTGAGCCAGAGTTTTTTTGTTTTTGTTTTGTTTGTTTGTTTGTTTGTGGTATTTTGGGTTTTGTGGGGTTTTTGTTTGTTTGTTTGGTTGGTTGGTTGGTTTTTCCGAGACAGGGTTTCTCTGTGGCTCTGGAGGCTGTCCTGGATCTAGCTCTTGTAGACCAGGCTGGTCTCGAACTCACAGAGATCCGCCTGCCTCTGCCTCCTGAGTCCTGGAATTAAAGGTGCGCGCCACCAATGCCCGGCTTTGAGCCAGAGTTTTGATACTGTCTCCTAAAAAGATAAACTGATCAACATCCTTTGGTTTCTCAGTTTCAGTTCCTCCTCTAATGAAAGCAAAAGAATTTCTACTCCCAAAATCTGAGTCCTTCGGTCACATTAAAAGGAAAAGGGGAGGGCTTAGGGTGTCTTCAGTGAGAGGATTCAGGCTTAGCATACATGCAGCTCTGCCTTTACCCCTCAACTTCACAAAGAATTTCAGGGTGCCTAGTTCCCACCTTTGTCCCCAAAGGGCCAAGAAGCAGGCCTGTCCCAGTCCCCACTCCACCTTTATGGACAGGGTAACGGTAGCTAACAATGAGCTCTGTTAAGAGATTTACCACAAATCAGGGCAGCTGAGCAACCTCCAGTCATTTCCAGTCTAGGAAGCAAATGCCATTATCCTCACTTTGCTGAGGATTCCAAGTTAGTTCTTCTAACTAACACAGCCGTAAAGGCTGGATAGATGGCTCAGTCACTAAAGGGTTTGCTACTTAAGTGTGAGGACCTGAGTCAGGATCCCCAACATCCACGGGTAAAGACTGGCATGTAGAGCATGCTTCTAAATCCAGCACTGGTGGATTGGGGCAGAGACAGGCGGATTTCCAAGACTCTAGGCCAGACAGTCTAGTTGGAATGGTGAACTCTGAGACCAGCCAACAAACAAGGGAGAAAGCAATAGAGAAATACACCCAAAGTTGATTTCCTGCCCTCCTTCCTACACATTTGCACAGGCAAACACACCTGCATACCTGCATCATACAACGTTCAGAGATCTGAAACCTTAATTAGACCAAATGATTTGCTTTGGCAGATGCAAGTAAAGTACCTACCCCAGGAAATCCCCTCCACCAGCACCCTCCACCAGACTACCTGTTCTTATCATAAACCTTGCTCTTGAATAACAAAAAGCATCTAACATCCTTTTTTAAATGCACATTAAATAACTTCAAAGATAAAAGTAACGAGTCAGCCGGGCATTGGTGGCCCACGCCTTTAATCCCAGCACTTGGGAGGCAGAGGCAGGTGGATCTCTGTGAGTTTGAGGCCAGCCTGGTCTACAGAGAGAGTTCCAGGACAGCCTCCAAAACAATACAGAAAAACCCTATCTCAACCCCCCCAAAAAAAAGTTGGCACCCTGACCACCCTGAAACAGATGAATGAAAGGCTAGAGACTGGGTGTGGGGACTCTAAAATTCAACTACACTGTGAGAAAAAAACACACACACACACAATCTATGAGGGAAGGCGTGTCCTCCTAAGGGAATACAGATCCCTGTGTCCAACAAGAGGGTCAACAACCAACACGAGGCTTTACTGAGTCACTCCCATCTCTACACACAACACCCAGGAATGACTTGGCACCAAAACTGCATCAGGACTCTTCAGAGGGAGGCAAGGATGGAGACACAGACTCAGACTCAAGGGACTAAACTTCAGGATCACTGAGCACATGCCATCCACACCCATCTTCCTCTCACTTCCAGCCTCCCCACCCGTGCCACTTCCCCCCTGGTGGTACTGGCTTGGGCAAAGGATCAGCCCCATACAGCTTCAGCATTGGGCAAGAAGGGAAGGGTTTCAAGACACAACCAGAGACCTCAAACGATGAGCTAAGGGAAGAAATGGAGAGCTGGAGCATAAACCAGGCAGCCCAAACGCAAAAGGCACAGCCGGGAGAGGGAAGATGCGCGGCTAATGGGCCGGCTCTAGGGACACAGGTGCAGGGAGTAAAACAGAAGGAAGACAAAGCAGCCACAACACCCCCTCGGGGGACCGGGAACTACTCTGGTTTGCTGTGGATAGGGGTTCGGGGCCATCAAACCCAGAGTCTAGAGATGCTCTTTGCCGTTGGAGAAAGAGGATTCACCAGGGACAAGAGTCCTGGACCAGAGAATAACTGAAAACCAGGGGCTGGTAACTGTAGCTGCATCCCAGGAGGGTCACGGAAGAAGGACTGAGACACGCACTAGAGATCTGGGAATTCCGGGTGTGGAAAGCTGTCAAGGGGATCGGCGGGGCTGGGACGGTCTGGGAGGGGCTGGGGAGCAAGCTTTGCTCTAGGAGCTGGCTGTCAATGAAGGGACGAAGGGACAGGAGCTCCAGCCCCGGGAAAGTGAGAACAGTGCAGGAGACTAGGGGCCAGGGCTCCGCAGCCTGCGAACGACCCTGCGGGAGTCCACAGGGTGTGGGGACACAGGGTCGGGAGCGTGCGGCTGCAGCGGCGCCACCGGGCGGGTGACAGCGGCAGGGCCACCACTCACCACTCATGTTGCCGCTCCCGGGGCCACCGCAGGCCGTGCCGCCGCCGCCACCGCCTTGTCTGCTGCGGCCGAGCTCCACACAGGCGGGGAGAGTGCGCGCCCCGCCCGCTGGCCCCGCCCCGGAAGTACGGGCCCTCCGAGAGCCCGCCTCCCGACCCGGAACCAAAATACCCTCTCGAGTCGAAGCCCTAGGGTGGCGGGGAAGAGACCCGGGACCTTATAGGATAAATGCATACTCATCCCCGAGCCAGAATGGAGACAGCAGTATAAATTGAGTTCAGACAGGCATGCGGGATAAGTGTACTGGGAGCTTGGAGTAGTAGTTCAAGTCTGTCAAACCAGCCCTTGGGAGAAGGCGGAAGGATCAAGAGTTCAAGGTCGCCGGGTGGATATGCTGCACGCCTTTAATTCCAGCACTCAGGAGGCAGAGGCCGGCGGATGTCTGTGAGTTCGAGACCAGCTTGAGACCAGCGAGTTCCAGGACAGGCTGCAAAGCTACAGAGAAACCTGTCTCAACACACACACCCAAAAAAGAGTTCAAGGTCATCCTTAAACTACATAGTAAGTTGGATACTAGATTGGGCTACTTGAGATCCTGTCTTACAGAGACAGGAAGAAAAATGGGCCTGCAGAGCCTAGCAGCACAGGCTTTAATCCCAGCATTCAAGAGGCTGAGCTGCAGAGTTCAAGAGCCGGGGTGTAGCTCAGAGGAAAAGCATGTGCCTTAATGCATGAGGACAGAGCTTCAACTTTCTGTTCCAACAAAAACAAAGAGTGAGTGAATTCAGAGCCATTCTGGGCAGCTTATCAAAACTCTCAAAAAATAAAGTAAGGACTGTGTATGTAGCTCAGGAGTAGAGCCCTTGGTTCAGTCTCCAGCATCAGACAGAAAAGAAGACTCGTCCGTGTTTGTGACTGTGTTGGGCCAATGTAATAAATAAGGAATCCCTGAGGGTCTCTCTTTTAGGCCAAGCCCAGGATAGGTATTCCAGGAGGATCGGGTGCAAGTCCACACCAGGAAGGGTTGGTTGGTTGGAGCAGTGTTAGCAAGAAGTGAGTGTTGGGGACGGAGGAATCTGGGGAAGCCCTTTTGTAAGCAGGAGTTTGTGCTTTCCTGCATGCCTCTTCATGGATGGGGAATGGAAGGCCATTGCAAGAATTTAAGCAGTGATGAAATCAAAATTGAACTAAAGGTGTGGTGGCACTCAGGAGGCAGAGGTAGGTGGATCTCTGTGAGTTCCAGGCCAGCCTGGTCTACAGAGTGAGTTCCAAGACAGCCAAGGATACAAAGAGAAACCCTGTCTCAAAAAACAAAAAGAAAAGGAAAGAAAGAACTTAACAGGTTGGGAAGATAGCTCAGTGGTTAAGAGCACTGGCTGCTCTTTCAGAGGACCCGGCTTCAATTACCAGCGCCCACATGGCAGCTCACAACTGTTGCAACTCCAGTTCCAGGGGAAGCCACCCTCATACAGACATACATACAGGCAAAAACACCAATGCACATTAAAAAATAAATAAATTTTAAAAACACTTCACTTGCAATCCTGGTGTGGTGGTGAACACTTTTAGTTCCAGATCTTGTAAGATGGAGACAGAAGAATCTTGAGTTATGGCCTGAAGGAACACTAGTCTCAAAGAAACAAATCACTTCCTATGATGAGATGGATTGTGATAGAGCTGGGGAGAACGGCTAGGGAGGCATGCTAGCTGTCCAAGCAACTCTGTAGGCAACAGTGAGAGAAGCGGGTGGGAACTGTGGGAACACAGGTTTTACATTCACAGCATTTAGGGATGTCAGGGTTTTGCTCCATTTTAAAGCTGGACTTGAAACACTTTCTTTTCCCCCTCCTGGGTGTGAGGCTGAGACTGGAGTCATCCAGCGTGGGTAACTTAGCGACAGTCTTTATCGAAAATATAAAAATAAAGAGCTAGAGGATATATAGTTCAGTAAGAACTTATGTGTGAGGCCCTGGATTTGATTCTCAGTGATAGAAAGAAAAAAAAGGTGATTAAGCTGGGGAGGCTCCCCTTCTCCTATGGGCTTAAGCTCCTGGTGAAATTTCACATGGGTTTACCTAACTTCTTCCATCCAGATGTTGGCCTCTTGAGGTTGAGCTTTCTGGCCTCCACAACAGAGGTAAACAGTGTGGTGGTGTAGCTCATGCATACCTATAATCCTATTCCATTGGCCAGGCAGAAGAACCAAGAGTTCAAGGCTAGCTCATAAAGAAACAGATACATGTCAGTACTTTCTACATTACCAAGTCTCAAATGTCCTGTTACAGTTCCACAGACACAATAAGACAATAACTCACTGGTTGTTACCCCACTCTGACTCAGTTTCTCCCTCTAGGCAAGTATTCTATAAGATGGAAGTAATTGTCTGCCTTCCTTATAGGATTTTCTTTGTGTGAAAGGACTTGGAGCAGTCTCTGGCACCATGAAGCCTACATAAATGATCACACACACCTGCACCTGAGCCAAACAGTACCAGGTTCATGTTTGTCACAGTTAGCAATGATACATGTATTTGTATCTGATGTCGGCTGGTGACCTAGAGATCCTGGAGAACTGGCCTGACTTCTCCTAGTTACAGAAAAACACGGGATAACCTTGATTCTTTTGGCTATCTATCAGGAGAGTCTGGTTTGTCCTGAAGTACACCTTGTCTGTGGGTGCCTCCTTAGAAACCCTGGGACCTATAGAGCTCCTTTTTTGTTGCTTTGTTTTGGTTTTTCAAGACATAGTTTCTCCGTATTGTTTTGGATGCTGTCCTGGAACTCACTCTGTAGACCAGGCTGGCCTCAAACTCAGAGATCCACCTGCCTCTGCCTCCCAAGTGCTGGGATTAAAGGTGTGCGCCACCACTGCCCAGCTCCTTTTTTGTTTTTTTGTTTTTTTGAGAGAGAGAATCAAAACTTCAATCATAAAACCAAGGAACCTTCCACAATTAAGCTCCCAATGATAAGATGGGAAATGGATCTAATGTAAAGAGTTTTCAGAATTAAAGGACAAAAAGCTATATTCCCAGCTGATAAACAGTCATCCTAAAGATAGTGAAAGCATCAGCTTTCCCTCTGACAAAAGTTCTCAAAATAGCTTTATACCAGACAGATTGATCCTCTAGAAGAGTTGGTTCCTCCATCTCTGTGACACTTTCCGAAGCAGTTGGCACACTCTTGTCGTAGTCACTTGTTTTCGTGGTGACAAGAATGGTTGCACCCTCCTCCATCGCTGGAAGTGGGAAGAAATGGTCAGAATCAACCTTCAGGTTGCTGTTGACACAGTCCTCACAGGTACAGTCTTCCACTGTATACTCCAGGCTTCGGGGAAGAGCCCTGACGTCATCAACCCTGCTGTGCATCCGGTCAGAATTGGCCTTGTCCGGCAGAATGGATCCTAATGATACAGAAACAGGCATTCACCTGAAGGTCACAGTGGTCGTCATAGCATGCATGGCAGAACACAAAACGGCACAAGAGCAAGAACTAGTGCATCCTATGCCAAGAGTCACTGAGACCCCACCTGAGATGTGGCCCTGAGGCAGGTTGCTTTTTGGGTATATGGAGTTTTTAAATCTTGTCTTGTGTTGATCACATTTACATGAGAATGTATGTAAGCAGACTCTATATAGACTACAAAACCTGACAATAGGAGGAACATGGAGACAGTGGGCTGGAGAAAACCATAGCAGCTTCTGCCTCCAAGCAGGTGATTAGTGCCCTTGTTGGCAAAGCCTCAAACTGGATTGGTCCACATATTTATTACCCACCTGGCTCTTGCAAGTTCTGAGGGTTTGACCTCATCTTACACAGGAAATTAGCACGTGTCAAAGCATATCAGAGTCAGCCTATGAGTGACATTTCCAATTACAGAAGCAAAAGCTGGGCATGGTGGCACACACCTGTAATCCAACCACTCAGGAGGCTGAGACCCTGAGTCCAATCCCCAGTACCAGAGAAGGAAAGAATATAGAAGGGATTTTTTTATTTGTGGTGGAAGGAGTCATATCATAGTATACTGTGACTGTCAGGACAGCTTATGGAAATAGATCACACTCAGCCTAATCAGGCTTGGCAGCAAGTACCTTAATCCACTGAGCATCTCATCAACATTCAAGATGTGTCCTGTGTCACGGTTTTCCTGACATGACATCTCATGGAGAATTTTTCAGTACATTAGTTTGTGTGTGTGTGTGTGTGTGTGTGTGTGTGTGTGTAGAGAGAGAGAGAGAGAGAGAGAGAGAGGGAGTGAGTGTGAGGGAGGGGGAGGGAGGAGGGAGAGAGAGAGAGAGAGAGAGAGAGAGAGAGAGAGAGAGAGAGAGAGAGAGAGAGAGAGAGAGAGAGATTCTGTAGCCCAAGTTAGTCTAGAACTCACTGTAACCTAGGCTGGCCTTCTACTCATTTTTTCTATAATGTGTGTAAGTGTTTGTTGCATGTAGGCATGTGTAACTTGTATATGCCTGATGCAGAAATATTGGATCCCCTGGAACTGAAGTTATAAAAGGTTGTGAGCTGCCATATGGATGCTGGAAACCACACTGTGATCCTATGTAAAAGCAGCAAGTGCTCTTAACCACTGAGCCATCTCTCTAGCTCATGGCCTCAAACTGTTAGTGACCCTTCTGCTTGCTTCAGCCTCCAGAGAATTGATATTATACTCCTGAATAATTTGTTTTTCAATGAACTTCCTTTGATCCCACATAGAAGTATAAGCCTGAACCCACATCAAAAATGGGGTGTGGCAGCCAAGTGTTGGTGACCCATGCCTTTAATCCCAGCACTTGGGAGGCAGAGGTAGGTGGATCTCTTTGAGTTCAAGGCCAGCCTGGTCTGCAGAGTGAGTTCCAGGACAGCCAGGACTGTTACACAGTGAAATCCTGTCTCTGGGAAAAAAATTGTTGTGGCGTCAGGCATCTGTAATCCCAGTTCTACAGTGAGGTTAGAGGCAGAGACAGGAGACTCACCCCCAGAAGCTTGAAGACAAGCTATCCTGGAGACTGAATCAAAGTATAAGAAATAAGAGGGACCCTGCCTCAAAGTGGAAAATTGGAAGTAGCTCCTGAAAATTGTCCTCTGACCTCCACACAGGCTGTGGTATGCACCTACCCTCTCACACACAAAAGATCAAACTTCTGCTTCCCAACATTCCACAGTGACTTTGTCTTCTAAAACATCTCTTTCAAGGGTCTAGAGAAATGGCTTAACCACTAAGAGCACTGGTTGATCTTGGAGAGGACATGGGTTTGGTTCCCAGCACTCACTTGATGACTCACAATTGTCTGTAAATCCAGTGCCAGGGGCCTCTGGCTTCTGGGGGGATGCACACATGTGGTTTACAAGCATGAAGCAAAACATGCATATCCACAAAATAAAAAATAATAAAAGCTCTCATTCAGGTTTGTTCTAGAAATATACTAAACACAGGGAGGAAAAACAACTGCCTGACCTCACTTCCATGTGGTTCCCAGACACAAGGAGTTGGGGAAATAAGAAGCTACAGTTATGTAAGATGAGTCTGTAGAGCCAGCCTGTGACTATGTCTGGATGATACTGTAGTGCTGCAAATAGCAGAGTAGATTCCAACTAGCCTCTCCACTAAGGAGAATGCTGAAGGGGCAGGGATGGGGCTCAGCTGGCTCACTCAGCTAGCACCCCCAGAAGCTCTGGATTCAATCCAGAACTTCACAAACCAGGCATGATGGTGCACACCTGTATTGCCAGGCCTGGAGAGATGGCCACGAGAGAATCAGAGAGGTTCAAGGTCATCCTGAGCTATGCAGTCCAAGGTCTGTCACCAAAAAAACGGTGAAGTATGTAAGGATGTGGATGTGTTGTTTGTTTGACTGTAGTCACTGTTTCCCTATGTGTCTGTAATCAGAACGTTATGTCATGTACTTTACATATGTACACCTTTAATCCCACAGGCAGGCAGATTTCTAAACTCAAGTCCAGCCTGGTCTGCAAATCAAGTTCAGGACAGCCAGGACTACACAGAGAAATCTTGTCAAATAAATAAGTAAGTAAGTAAGTAAGTAAATAAATAAAAGCATTCTAGGGCTAAAGAGCTGGCTCAATGGTTAACAGCCAGTACTACTCCTCCAGAGTTCATTCCCTAACAACCACCTTTAACTCTTAACTACAGGCGGAATCTAATCCTCTAAACTCCCATCCAGAGGCACTGTACTCACATGCACAAAGCCACTCTCAGACATGTACAAATACATTCAACTTTAAAAACAATTAAAATTCATTCTCTTGTCTCCCAGATCACGTGGAAGCCAGAAGAGTGGGTGAGTTACCCTCTACTCCCACTGCACTAGAAAATAATGGAGGAGATGGAGTAGTGTGCATGGAAAGCAAATGCATAAAGAAGCAGGACAAGGGCTTATAAGATGCCTTAGTGGTGTAAGAATGTGCAAGCATGAGGACCTGAGTTTAAATCTCTAGCACTCTAGTAACAAGTACATCCATAACCTCAGCATGTACCCTCCCAATGGCAGAGATGCGAGCTAGGTAATACAGCTGCAACAGCATGCTTCTGATCCACTGAGAGACCCTGTCTCGTGGCAACAAGGTGAAAAACAATAGAGGCAGACGCCTGATGTCCTGCTCTGACCTCATGAGCAAGTGCATACTCACATTCATACACCACACACACCAAAAGAAAAAAAGGTAATAAAAAAAAAGATGCAGGACGATGGATGCTGTGTGTCTTGAAAAATCAGGTCATGGGGAACAGTGCTATAAAAATATTTTTAGCCTAAGAGGCTCTCAGGTGGAGCTTTAACTTCTCTGAGACTGGTATTCTGTTACCTAGTAATTATTCTTGAGATGGTTAGTGAATCCAGGAGCAACTGGTTATTCATTTCTAGCATTTAGGGCATCAAAATGTTCACATGCAAACTGTTTATAATTATATTAAAAACATGACCAGGGATCTTACCAAATGCAGTTATCCAGAGTATCTGGCTGTTGTTGTGGGATAGCAGAGTATCTCATCAGTGTGCTAATTACCGTCAAAGACACTTACCAAGCAAGCCTCAAGAGCAATTACCAAGAGAAGAACTGGGAGGAAATGGGCATTGAAAGGAGACCTTCAGTGCCAGGATTTCTCTGTTGTTTGTTTGTTTGTTTGTTTGTTTGTTTGTTTGTTTGAGAGGGCATTGGCTGTTGTCGTTGTTGGTTTTTTGTTTTGTTTTGTTTTTTTGAGACAGGGTTTCTCTGTGGCTTGGAGGCTGGCCTGGAACTAGCTCTTGTAGACGAGGCTGGTCTCGAACTCACAGTGATTAAAGGCGTGCACCACAGTCAGGCCAAAAGTCAAACTTTTTGTTTGTTTGTTTCTCTATGTAACTTTTGAGGTTGTCCTGGAACTTTATTTGTAGACCAGGCTGGCCTCAAACTCACAAAGATCTGCCTGCCAAGTGCCGGGATTAAAGTTGTGAGCCACCAACGCCCGAGGTTGGTTTTTTTATATATTGTTTTAAGAAATGGTCTCTTGTAACCCAAGCTGGCTCTGTATGTAGCTGAGGATGACCTTGACCCCTTTGATCCTCCTGCCTGCCCTACCCAGGTGCTAAGATGACAGGCATGTACCACCACACCCAGCTCAAAATTTCAACTATCCACTAACACATTTGAAAGTTCTGTAGCCAAAAGAAAGAGTCAAAGTTAAAAAAAGAAAAGGAAATGAAACTTGGAAGAGCCACCCGTACAGAAATAGATTTCAAAGAGTCACCATCAAACTGACCTGGGTTTTGAAGTTTGTCCTTCAGTGCTTCAGAGTTCATCTTCCTCAGCAAGAATGTGAGCGCAAAAAGTGCCAAAGAAACAATCAAGGTCAAGCCCAAGAAGGTCCAGAGAACAATATGTATCCCTTTCATTGAACCAGTCATACCTTTATTAAAAGAACGTCACAGAGGTCAGTACTCAAATCAAGTATGAGTTTTCTAACACTCAACTCCCCTATTGCATATTCATGAACACCTTTCTTTGGGGGTAGGTGTCTATTGAGACAAAGTCTCGTGTAGCTCAAGCTGGTCTCAAACTCATCTATAGACCTTGGCTATGGATGAGTCCACCTCCTATGTAAGTGCTGGGATTACATATCTGCAGCAACATGACCACAAACACTACTGTAGACAGAGCTATGGATGAGTCCACCTCCTGTGTAAGTGCTGGGATTACATATCTGCAGCAACATGACCACAAACTGTAGACAGAGTAGTGCGTGTGCCAGTCAGGCACTCTACCAACTCATCTACAGCTTGGCACCTTTTGTTGTTCTTGAAACAGAATCTCACCGTAGCCCAAGCTGCCCTGGAATTCACTATATAGTCCAGGCTAGCCTCAAATTTGTGTGATTTGACACCCCTTGGAGTTGCTGAATAATCCTTTCACAGGGGTCACCTATCAGATATTGACATTATGACTCATAACAGTAGCAAAATTACAGTTGTGAAGTAGCAACAAAGCAATCCTATGGTTGGGAGTCACCACAACATGAGGAACTGTATTAAAGGGTGGCAGCACTGTGAAGGTTGAGTGAGAACCGATGCTCTGGAGGCTTATACTCCCCTCCCTGGCTTCACCAACACTGACTTTCAATTTCTAAATGTCCTTGAGTTAAGAGCTGATGAAATCGCCTTCACTATTGGTGCTGAATAAAATTGAATTTTGATCTGAACAATTCCTTTGCTCCAGGAGACATCTAAATCATTGCTTGATTTCTGGTTTTGATTCAGGAAAACAAAACAAAAAAATCTCCCCACCTTCTCTGGTAGATAAATAGGCACTATCAAGAATGTCTCCCAACAAGAAGCAGCTATTGAAGAGTCTCACTTACTTGGATTACAGTAAGGCTGACAGGGTACAGGAGGGTTGGAACACCGAAGGTGGCAAGGTTTGCAAGCGTGAAGCAGACTGTCAAAATATTCACTGTGGAAACACTGCGGAGCCATGTGGGACTTGATCACTGAAAGAAATGGAAACAGCAGACAGAACAGCATGGAGGACAAACAAATTCTCAGCAAGAGTTCCCCGTGGACAGCAATCGGCAACGTTGAAGGGGAAAGAATGACCCCAACTTTGTTGGCTCTTATGAGGGCTGTAGGTATTGTGGCAGATTTGAATACCTCTCTGGGTCTCCGTTTTCTAAGAGGCTTGGGTGGGGCAATGAGGGGGTATATTACAACAAACCGTCCCTGAAACAGAAACTGCCTATTTATAGAGGAAATTTCTCACCCAGGTGACAGTTGCATGATGTGGACAAGCCTAGGGCATGAAGCAGAAAGTTCAGTGGCCATTTATGAACCACCTATTTGTGGGCTGCACTGTGTGATAGGAGATAGGCAAGATTAAGTCTGTGTCCCTTACACAAGTCATCAGGGAAGGCAGACTATAGTCTGTAACTGGAGGGCAGTTGCAGCTGACAGAAGGGAAGACAGAGGAAGAAACTGGTCAAATATAACAACTGGTACTCATATTTGGCAGCTGGGATTAAAGCAAGAGGCTTAAAGGAAGATTGTAGGCATTCTGTCAGGACGATAAAATCCATCCCACTTGAGCATGGTGGTGCACACCTTTAATCCCAGACCTCTGGAGGAGAGGCAGAGCAATCTCTGTGAGTTTGAGGCCAGCCTCATCTACCAGGACTACACAGAGAGTAAAACAGCAATCCAATATCCATCCATGAAAAGAAATGGACCTTTACCATCTCCCAGAAAATGTTTATGGACTTGAATTGATGACTTATGAATCTATATCATATCCTTTATGATCCTGGAATGTCAGGGTTAAGGATTCAAGATTGAGTGTCCAATAGGTACGTCCCTAAAGTCCCACCATTTATGAGGCTGAGGCAAGAGAGTCTCAAGTGGAAAGCCAGCCTGGGCTACATATCAAAATCCTGTCTCAAAAATAAACTTTTTAATTGAAGCTGGGCACATGCACCTATAGTCACAGCCATCTGGGTTATAGAAGCATTAGGTAGTGAATTCAAGGTCTATCTGAACTACACTGTAGCAAACTTGTCATAAAACTACATGACTAGAGGCTGAAGAAATGGTTCAACAGTTGCACTGGCTGTTCTTCCAAAGGACCTGGGTTTGATTTCCAGCATGTACATGGAGGTTCACAACCATTTTTAACTCCAGTCCCAGGGGATTCAATGCACTTGCCTGGCCTCCATAGGCAGCAGGCACACACATTTGATACATTCCCTTAGAAAAGGTGGGCCTTGCCCATCTCCCATCTCTCTCTCTACCCCTTCTCTCTCCTCTTCCAATAAACCTCCTATGTAAGCCCTGTTGTATGGTGTGACTCCTTCCCACCTTTTTTTAAAAGTATAACACAGACCAGAGACGACAAACGGGCTGGATAAGTTCGAGAAGAGCATCTTCCATGTTACTTAATTGGAATCACTTTGTTTGGCTTTTGTTTGTTTGTTTGGTTGGTTCTCTTTTTTTTCAGGCAGGGCTTCTCTGTGTGACCCTGGCCAATCAGTGTTTTATTCATCAACCAATAAGAGAAACATATATACAGACCCCTATCATCTTTTCTTTTCTGTCTAAATAAAAAGAAAGGTTTTAAATTTAGAACAGTAAAATTATATGTAACAAAACAGCAAGAACTATAGTTAACAATATTTAGTCCATTAACGTTTGGCAAAATTTAAAGAAGATATTCTATCATCTATCCTATCTTTGTGAGTCTAAAGTTTTACGTGTAACTTATCTTTTATCATAAGGAAAACCATAACCATAACTATCTGTCTTCAACTCCATCAAAGACCTCAGAAGGATAATATATAAACTCTAGAACTGACAGAGACATCTTGCTGCCTGGACAGTCACCCAAAGTTCCTCTGTAACGTTGGGGCATCCATTTCAGCCTACAGATCTAAAGTGTCTGGCAGACTTCTCAGCAAAGCAGGACATTTTTAAACTGTCCTGACTGTATTGGTAGTTTGTCAGTCATTTTTCTGTGTCATGCAGAATGTCTGGCAGACTCTTCTTTAAGGCAGGAACCCTGAAGGACTGTCCCATCCTGTTTTGATAAGTTCAGCAGTCACTTTCCTGTGCGTCCTGCATGTCCAATTTGTTTTTGTTTGTTTGGTTGGTTTGGTTTTTCGAGACAGGGTTTCTCTGTGGCTTTGAAGGCTGTCCTGGAACTAGCTCTTGTAGACCAGGCCTGTCTTGAACTCACAGAGATCCGCCCGCCTCTGCCTCCGAGTGCTGAGATTAAAGGCGTGCACCACCAATGCCCGGCTTGCATGTCCAATTTGTATAGCATACAGTCAAACAGTCCAGGCAAGAGCAGTTTCTTGCCCAAATGGCTAGTCTTGCCATGTTGAAGGCAAACCCCATAATGAATTTCTTTGATGCCCATCTTCCTCTACAAAGTAATAGGTGTTGCCAGGAGCAGTGTCCCTTTGTCAAGAAAAGTCCTAATAAGCCATTTTAAATGCTATATTCTATAGGTCTTTGACAGGTTTTGAAGAATACCTATCCATTTGAAATATATCTCTGTATATATAGAAAACCTAACTATATAACTGTCCCGACCCTCAGGATACTCTTCGTGGGTCGGGTGGCCACCTAGGAAAAAGATGGGGGGCAGGGGATACAAGGACGGACGCCAAGACTGATCCGTCTGATCAAGGCGACAACTTTATTCATCCCAACGGGATTTATATAGGGAAATGGAGGAGGGGAAGGAATGGGGGATGTGCTGTAGCTGAGATGAACCTGGCGGAGCGAAGGTCAGTGGGATGGGTATGTCATCCTGTGTCCTACTGCAGACTCTAACTTTATCTTTCACATTCCACCTTCTATTAAGCTTACCCCCAGATAAGCCACAGGTCTGTTTCTGGAATTTGGCAGGTAACAGGGTGGTCCCGAGTCACGTACTTTCTATGAGGGTCTTTTCTTATGAGTATGTGAGGCAGCCATACCTGGTTGATGTCCGGAGGTCCCTGACACATAACTATAAGTTTTGACTGTTATAGATGACTGTCTATGGTCTATATTTAATTACACATTACATTTTAAAAGAGCTGTATAAATACTATACCTAAACAAGAGTAGAAATGTAGCAAAATTGACCTTAAATTTTTATTAATAAACCAAAATCCATACCAATGCAAGGCATTCATTTCTAAATCATATTCCCTTTTTTCTTTAGAAAGAGATTAACCATGATCATTAAACATTTATAACCAATCCCATTAAAATGAAAACAAACATTTATAAACAATATTTAGGAATGTGGACATGGTTATCTCCAAACTGCTCCCTGCTATTTGGGGACACTTTCAAAACCATGGGGACCATGAGAAAGCACAGAAACGTGGCTGTTATAGTCTGAGGCTGCATCATCTCAATTGTTTGAATGTTGGATCACCTGGGCCACTGCTTCAGGGGGTCTTGCTTGATCAAACCATATTAGTCTGGAAGGAATCCACAGCTTTTCATCTTCTGGGGTAATAAAATCAGAATATCTTTTCCAAAGTAAATGTCCTTAGACTTAAATTTTAAAATGAAGGTATTTAAAACATATATAGGTTGGATTAATCTAGCAGCATTTATAATCAAATGTCTTTTAGCAGCTGTTGTTATATACTCAGCATTAAAGAATTCAAAGACAACACAATAGCACACAGTATTCAGACTCTTTGTATTTTCCATCTTTATGTGGCTTTTTATTAGTATTATTCTATTTCTTTACTTTTATTTTTTAGTTTTTTGAGACAGGGTTTCTCTGTGTATCTTTGGATGTCCTGGAATTTACTCTGTAAACCAGGCTGGCCTTGAAATCACAGAGATCTGCCTGCCTCTGCCTCCTGAGTGCTGGGATTAGAGGTATGTGCACCTAGTCAGTCTATTTCTTTTTTAACCAATTTATTCCTTTTCTTTTCTCTCCCAAGTCTACTTATATTTCTAAATGACATTTAAACAATTTAGAGGTTGGTTTGTTTGTTTGTTTTTGAATCTGTCTTTATATCTCTATCTTTTCTGACCTCATGAGTCTTATCTGCTAAGCATCATGGCTAAAATTAAAGTAGTGGCTAGCCCTGCCCTATTCCTTGGCTTTCTGAGAGTAGCTTTATGGTGGAGCTACTGGTGGGAGCCATGCTTATTACCACAGCTCTGTGGAGTTTCTAGGTACACGCCACCACCAAGAAGCATGCTGTCGATTGCTCGTAAACACCATTTAATTGTTTGGTAGCAGGCCCACTTAAAAGAGCTATGCAGTTTTTGCTGCTAACTCTGAGTCAATAAACCTCTCTTAAAGGAGCTGTGAGCCTCTGTCTCTAGCAAACAGAGCCCACCTGAGAAAATGCTGCTACCAAGAAGCCGTGCTTGACTTTGTTTTGTTTTTAAAGTAACTTTTTAAGCTTTTGTGAATTTTTTTGTGAAAATTCTTGCTCCACATTGAGGGCCATTTGTAGATGGAGGTTCTTGTTCCACCTGGTCCTTCAATCACAAATAAGCACAATGACACTTACATTAATTATAAACTGTTTGGCCAATGGCTCAGGCTTCTTATTAGCTATCTGTATCTCAATTATTAACCCATCTCTATTAATCAAAGTATTTCCACATGGTCTTGTCTTACGGGAGAATGTCCAGACCTATTACTTCTTCAGTGGCTACATGGCATCTCTCTGGCGGCTTCTCTCTACCTCCTCTCCCCAGAATTCACTTTATCTGGTGGCCCCATCTATACTTTCTACCTGACTACTGGTCAATCAGTGTTTTATTCATCAACCAATAAGGGAAACACATATACAGAAGAACATCCCCCATCACATGTGAAAAAACTATACATGGAATATGCACTGGTGACAGAGACAACCAGATCCCCTCACTCGTTGGCTAGCCAATTAGCCTAGCTCTCAGGTTGAGCTTCCAACTCAGTGAGAGGCCCTACCCTAAAAGAATAAGGTAGAGACTATCCTGGTGGTGGCACATGCCTTTAATCCCAGCACTCGGGAGGCAGAGGCAGGTGGATGTCTGTGAATTCGAGACCAGAATTCGAGAGCTAGTTCCAGGACAGCCTCCAAAGCCACAGAGAAACCTGTCTCGAAGGGGAAAAAAAGCCTGTAACATCAATAGGAACCTTGTCATGAAATGCAATATAACCATGAAAGAGGTGTGGTCATTGTAAGGCACATCCATAATTGAAAGAGGTAAGG